GAATGCAGGTGGTCCCTTACCTATCGAGTCGTACGTTTTCCATATGACTCATTTAACCCCTTGCGCTGGTGCCTATGATGCCCACTTCTGAAGCTTATTGTCCATCCCTTATCCTTCCATCTTTTCCTCTTGTTCTTCTGTTTTGCTTTGGTGGGATTTTTTGCCTCATTCCAATCCCCCCTCATTTAAACTTCTAAACTGCAAAATTGGTCAAAACTTCAGTCAGTAGACAAGCGCGACGTATTCACAGATCAAGTACCTCGACCCATCAAGTAATTTGGATTAAATTTTGGCTTTAAATTCCCGCCTTCGACCGAGGTAAGGGGTCACATGGGAAAGAAGGAGATTCCAAAAGAGACCACCAAATACGCATATGACCCCAGTGTGGCAAATCGTGTTGAAACGTGATCAAGTACTTTAGCACGTAGCTTACCCAGCTAAAATACAACAAGTCTTGCCTTTATTTTATCACATTTCCTAGCACGAGTGGTCAAGATCTTGACGTTTTTAAATCCTTATAAGGCAACCAAATAAATAATAACTTGAAGTTTTTGAATACATCTTTTAATACATAAACGCAATCTTTTATACTTTATCAGCTAATCACAAGCAAGCTATAAAGTCAAATTTTATGAAGTCTTAGTTCTAAAGGTAAACAATCTAGTCTTAGACATCTCTACTTACATCTCACTTTTATTTTCCAATTGTTTAGTCTGTTTTATATGAACCCATGTGGTTGGCTGGTGATATTGCCTAGAAAAGGGGTTGTGGGCTACAAGAAATGGTATCAGAGAATAAGGGGAATGAGGCAGCGTCGTCCTCCCACCACATCCAAATGCGCAAACCTTCTCAAGAGTAAGTTCAGCGGTATCGAAACTGTTTTGTTTAAACGGTTTAACTCTGTCATTGAGCCTCATTCAAGTGTTTTCGGATGTAATACTTTTATCACTCGTTTAACATTCGGTTTTGGTAACGAACCACTAGGGGCTTCGCTGTCGTACCTCCGTCGGGTGGTTTGGCCTCCGGGCCATGCCTGTAGTCACCAAGCCCGTCTGTGAGCTGACAGTACATATTCTACTAGTGCCGTTTCACTCGTTAATAGCTTTTCTGCAAACCACGAGATGAGGGTAGTCGCCGGAGGTAGACTTCATTTTCCGACCTTCGGCTGGGTGTCGCAATACGTTTCATCATCCGCAGTAAATGCGCTTCTCCCTTCGCGCTAAGATTTATCGCCGTGCAGTAGAAACCAAGATAGTTGTATTTTAAGACAGAATTCGCCTTCCGCTTCCATCGATGTATCACTCTGAGACATTCCTAAAGACGAAAGAGGAAAAAAGACTCCGGTAGAATATGTACTGTCAACTCACAGACGGGCGGCATGGTACACTTGAGGAGCCCCTAAGTGGCCCCTTACCAAGATTGAGAGTTAAGCAAGCAATTAATTTATTATATTTTTACGCCTGTTTCTATCCAATTTGCTACAACTGGAGGTGTTTAAGTGTATACATCTTGGATTAAGTAAAATGACGTTAACAATTCCTCCTACTTATCTTGCTATTCAGAACATTTATCTGTTTTAGTTGTGAAGTTGAAACAGTCACATGAGGAGGTGAAAAAATGGGAAAAATACTTTGAATAAAGGAAAAATGACGTTGCAAATAAGGGTAAAGATGACAAAACCTTCATCTTATCCAGTACGTGCATAAATGCAATCTAGCGGAGGTGAAGGAACGGACAAGTCCACGATATAATGCATCGCTATTGTGAATAGGTTCTTTTTTACCATCACTAAGTGCAATGATATCTACAAAATCCTTACTTAATAGCATGTGACACCAATAGCAAATGTCTAAATTGTAGATGGATCCCCTCATTTGTTTGTAAGCTCTTTAAGAAAACCCTGATTAACTTCTCGAGCAACTCAAGAACAATTGGCTCATCCAAGAAACGCAAAGAAAAAAGTGAAATTACTCTAAGTTAAAACAAGCGGCTCGAAATAACAAGTAAATGTTTGAAAAAAATGAGTAGAGAACCGAGTACATTTAGCGGAAGTAATAGAAACCTGGATTTTGGTGTCATGACCGATTGACACTTCAATTTGTGAAGTCTCCAACTTCCTCGAAGTGCTGCTACTTCTACAACCTAAGTGGGGATTTAGCTTCATTTTATTATGGGTTAAGGATCTTTTGAGTTAAAGCAAGGAACAATTGAGGTGCTTAAATAATAAGCTTATGCATAAAGTAATCCCAGATTTTTTTTCTTCTCGGAGGTTGAAAAATTGCAAATTGTTTTTTTGTCCAATTCTTCATTCACTACACTAACACTGGTTGCTATTGTTTCACCAATTCTTATGAGTAACTTTTAAGTGTGTGTTATAAAATCAAATAAGCGAATTAATTTCGTTATCTCTGATAGAATAAGAAGTTTTTAAATGTCATATTTTGCCGTTTATAAAGCCATTCAACCATCCATCCACCAAGAATTCACCTGTAAAATGTGGTTTTATAAAGGATCGACATCATTTAAGCCCATTTTGCTCAGCTCACTATTGCAGGTACAATCCGTTATTGTTTGTTTAGCTCACATTTTGATAACGGGTCACTTGGGGCCTTGCTAAACTTAGAGGATTGGTTTGGATAATTGGGCAATGTCCCCACCTCCTCCTCCTCGAGGAGGATCGGATGTACAGTGCCATCCCAGTTACAAGATTGAACCGCTGATATAGTGTATTCATACAACAGTGTTTTTACAACATAAGTTAAATGACAAAATTTGTGCCACCATATTGTACCAGAGTTTTAGTAGGAAATATGAAATGTTAAAATAGCATCACTGTGATTAAGAATAATCTAGGCTTGCTTCCTACTACGGCAAAGAAGCCTCTTAGCTTCACCTTAAATCTAAGGTGGAATAGTAAAATAGAAGCGAGACATACGTGATGACAAGGAAGTAAGGGGAATTTTAAAAACATTATGTGGATTGTATAGCAATCTTTCGAAAGACTCACATCCTTCCCTCCATTGTCATCTCTGATAGCAAAAATTGCGAAAATCAACTCAGGACATTGCAAATCTCGCCTACTTTCTGTGGTGCACTAGGAAACTAAACCAAGAAATTCATCAGTATTAAAGAGTGAAAGCGATGACAGGCTACCGACTGTCCTCCATTTGACATTAGGAAATCGGTGTTTATAATCACCCTCACAATCAACTCCGAATGACGTCAATTGAATGAGAGGTACATATACACACACATGGACAGAGTTCTAGCTCTTACTTCGAATGCCCTTATTAATAGCCACGTGGTATGCTTTCTCTCCCGAGTAACTGACAGAAGGAGACGTTGACAAGGTGAAAGAAATCTCTCGAGTAATTTTCATCAAAGGTTTGTCTACTTGACTTTAAGATGCAAAAATCGTCTCTAGAAATTTTTTTATGAAGGTGAAAGTAGTACCTTCACATAGAAGTAATAAATCTGAACCATCTATTCTACTTGTCCCCACTCAAAAAAGTATTTCGTAGGTTCAAGTATCAATTCCATTTATAAACGCGTCCCAGGTTGCAATCTCATTAAATAGCATTATCTGTGACCTTTAAATGTTGATAGGTAAGGATGAAGACCACAAAGAAGAGGTGAGATGACTGCTCCAGACAACTGAATTTTCGGTTAACGAAATTTGAGCCTAGCTTTTTACGATTTCCCCGCATAAAATATCTTGTCGACCTCTGTTTCTTCAATACTGAAATTGATGAAACTCAATAGGGTGTACTTAGTCATTCTATTTTAAGAGTGGTTTTTTCTGCAAATTAGCACAGTAGAACTAAATTGAATAATACCCTAGTTTTACAATCCTTTAACAGGTTAATAGAAGAAACCTTAGTGTACCCATGGTGTGTAGCTGTGATTAAAGGATAATTCCTAGTCTTTAGATTGGAGGTTCATTGACGTACGACTCCTTCGGTGCACCCGACCATTATCCCGAGAGAGGCCAGATAGAATTGCTTTTGCTTTGAAAGAATCCTTTTCATAAATTTTAAAACAACAGCCTAAGAAACTTTTGACTATCCACAGGCCAAACCTATGACATATTACATTTTGCTAGGCTGTAGGGAGATACAGGTAGCACCAAAAACAATTCGCTGGTTTAAAATTGTTAAAGGAGGTTTCATTTTCCTCCTTTTGAGTCCATCCAAATAGACATTTCCCTC